CATACTGTCATCTTCCAGTAATAAACTTGTAGTATGTTATACAGAGGCATGGCTGATGTGTAGGTTTTTTCCAGTCAACTTTAATGTCCAAAATGGGGTATGTATTAATGCAGATTCTCATTGTAATTAAAAATTTTATAAACTTTTGTAATACAAATTTTTGTAAATACAGTACAACCCAGGTATAATATCGCCACTGGTTCTGCTGGTGGGCTTTTATATGGCAGAATTGCTCAGTTACACTTCATGAGCTAAACATTTGTATTCTTGCTAATGCTGATCACCAGGCACACCACATTGGGCTTGCTCTGACATTTAACACTAGATATTTCTGATATTATTAGAGCTTGGAAAATGTACTGTTAAAAATTACTTATATAGGCCACCTTACAAACAAAGTAGAAACACTACAACTGCCTCAAAGCTGCTGATCCATTAGTTTCCCCTATGTTTTAGTAGCTATTTGTAATTATTAATTTTGTCAACAATTTCATGGTAAATCTATGCTTTTAGACTTTGAGTTATACATTTAGTCTGAAGAAAACTTGCTAGCAAAATTTCTTGACGTAGGGCTTTAAGTGTGTGTATATATAGTTTTCATTTAGCACTTTAAAAAAATGGTGTGTGTGTGTCTGTGTCTGAGGAGGGAGGAAAGAGAAATGTTTAGGGGAGCAATATATTATTGAACATAATCCCATTTTATTAGTATGTTCTTGTGTTAGTGGCAAGTGTTGCAGAACTTGCATTTCCTGGCTTTTTTCCCTTTCATCGTCTGTCAATAATTTGGCATAAGGTTAATACATCTTTTTAAAGATACTAACTTTGTTTCTGCTCTGGAGTTAACCCAAAATGTTTTCTTGTTGTGTTTTTTTTTTTTTTTCATCAACTCTAACCACAACGAGGACCGATTGTTTAAATTGTTAAGTTTAGGTTTTGTTTAGTTCAGATTAGTGCCATAGAATATCTGCAGAAGTAGTTTTGGGGAACTATAATATTGTAGGGATACAAGTATTGTCAGGATTGTTACAGTGCTTATACTGAACTCTTAAGAGGTTTCTCGATACTATAGCAGATCAATAATTTAAGTCTGGAAAAAATGTACTGTATTCTGAGTTTCTCAAATATAGATTGATATAATTTTATATGGCCTTCTAATCAAGATGTATCTATAATTAATTGTATGTCAAAACACAAATATGTCTTTATTTTTTGTAAAATTACATTTGTGTTAGATTCACACCCTGCTGACAAATTATGGTTGCAAAGCAGGGATGATATAAAATCTTGCTGTATTTCTGTGGGCAATTCAGATCATGTCTAAATCCTATTAATGAATTCTGATCAGTTAACACAGCCTGGGTCTGATTCTTATTTCATAGAATCATAGGGTTGGAGGGGACCTCAGGAGGTCATCTAGTCCAACCCCCTGCTCAAAGCAGGACCAATCCCCAATTTTTGCCCCAAATCCCTAAATGGCCCCCTCAAGGATTGAACTCACATGTAAATGTGGGATATAATTCAGCATTACCTTTTTAAAGAGGTTACTAATTTTTAGTGTGGACTAATACTATATTCAAAGGAGAGTGAAAATATTTTGGAAGCAGGAAAAGGAAATATTCTTCCATAGCATTTTGTCCATTCCCATTTGAGAAGCATTGAGACTTCCTATTTTGATTAGAGCTGAACCTAGTGTGCTGATGTGACTAACTCTTTCTAGAGTTTTGCAAAACATGTTTGTGTAGCAGCATCACACATTAATGTGAGCACAGCTCTGGGATGAAATCTGCCATAATTAATTGACTGCGCAAAGGCCCTGAAAAAATTGTGTGGAGATGGTCTCTAACAAATAGAAGAATAAAATTGTTTGAGACTTTCCATAGGGATCCTTTAAAGTAATGGCTGTATATGGAAGTGGTCCTTAGAAATCCATTGTATTGGTTAAATGGTGGTGGTAAACTAGCAGTTGGATCACAAAAACATTGTTACAGTGATCCTAACGCACTGATTCATTAAGGATGGCTCTTTTAAAATATCTAATTAGAATCCCAGGGTTTCCTACCAAAGATTTTTAGCGGTGATTGGGGCATAGAAAGTCATCAAATGGTCTCTGAGCTTCAAAATGTGGACATTTAAAATAGCACATTCTGAAACAGTCCATTTCCTTTTGTTTCACAATATTAACCATAGTGTTCAATGTGATTATACAAATAGTCTCTGTCAAAGATAAATGAACTGGAAAATATTAAATACAAATTGTCAGCAAAAGAAACAGATGAATATTAATCTAGAACTAAGCAGTTTTTGTCTGGAAATTTACCTTAGGGATGACGGTGGCCCCTTAGGCTGTCAAGAGACAGGGAAGGAGGTAAATGGAGGCAGTAATCATCCTTGCTAAGGGCAGTCTGTGTCTTCAGACCCATTGAGAACAAATGAGAGATGGCAGCTATTTTGAGAAGGCCAACTTTACTAAAGGTAGCCTGAGTCAAATCTTTTCAGAATCATACGAGGTGGCAGCCATTTTAAAAGAGGGTGATTCAAGTTTCTTGAAACCACTATTCTTCAGTCTCTGCTGAAGGAGAAATTTTCATTTATGAAGATTAATGGAAAATATTAAACTTAAATTCCTAAAAATTTATTTTAATAAACGATCAGATCTGTTCAACAGTTACCTCATTGCCATTTTTGTGTAAATAATACCTGAGCTGAGATGATTTTGGATGATAAAAGATCTGACAGAATGCTAAATTTTTATAGCATCCGTTTAAAATTAATTGTAACTTGTAAACAATTAACAGATTTACTTGTAAAGTCTCAAAATTCATTAACTACTTAAATACTCAAAGTAGTTATTTTGTGAAAGATGTATTGTATTCTTCCATACAGAAGTGATTTAATTCCTTCTTTTGAAGTGAAAACTCAGCCTCTGCTATGGCGCTGTAGCTGGTATCACCATCATACCTGTTCTAAGTTCTAAATGGGAATATTTGTAAATAGAAGAGAGGCATAAAATCTGTTTCATTTCTTAGTTTGGAAACTGAATGTTGGCTCAAAAAATGTATATTTTAATATCCGTGATCCTAATGTTTGTCTTTTGTGATAACCTTTGAATTCCACATCTGATCAACTCAAAATCAGGAAGTGTTCTAGGCATCAGCGGGCAGAATAGTATTAATTTTGGTGAGATTTGGAAAATTGGAAGGGGGAAATGGACCCATGGAGCCCCTTGCATCTGGTTAGCAGACCCAGTAGTTCCACTAGCTCTGTCATTATCTATAGATCAGAGAATGGGCAGCTATTAATACTTTACAGCATAGTTTTCTCTGTCCTCCCAATATAGTTTAAAATGTTGTCATCTGGAATGACTTGTCTCCCAAACAAAAAGAAGAAATAAGAATGGTGAAAGGAAAGGGGGTGTTCACAGAGATCCTGAAATGGGGAAAAGGGTGGGGTAGGGGTTTCAAGAGTCTCTGAAATAGACGGGAATGGGAGAGTGGCACACAGACAGCTTATGGGGAGAAATGGAGTGATTCAGGGAGTCCATGGTGTATGCAAAGAGCTCAGACGATAGAAGCAACAAAGTGTGTGGCCCTCTAGTATTTCACCTGTAAATAATCTAGGTGTATATTTTTCCATGGGTAGTTTGTTTTGTTAAAAAAAATTTTTTTTGGAACACATGTAGACATTTTATTCCTGCTTCTTTCTGAGATGAAAGACAAATTTGAATGGAACGTATAATTTTGGTTAAACTCTTTTAATAAATGGTTCTATGAAACATACATCATACAGTATCTAAGTATGCCATTATGAAAAACTGGAAATTAACCTACAGAGCTCCAACAAAATTTGTCTTAGGAACTGTGTAGTCAGGGAGGAGGTGACAAATAGCCAGTAGCTCCTGCACCTAAATGTTGTCTGAGAGCAGGGATTCTCGCAACAAATTTTTTGGTGGCCTCAAAGTGCGGCGACCAACTCTTGCTGGTGGCCAATATGACAATTTTTCTAAAAAACTTAACTAGCTTTAGGAAAAACAAGTAAATATACACATATACCGGTCCAAATCGTTGTAATTTATTTATGTAAGGTTTTGTTGCAGACTCAATAACAACGTACGGTTGTCTCTATTCTTTATTGATTTATTGACTATTCTAAACAGAATAGAAACACAAATAATGTGTTTTGCGTGTTCTTGTCTTTTTTGTTGTTCTTTTTGCTTTTTTGGTTTGTTTTTTAATAGAATTGCTAGTTAATTAGTCCTCTTCTGTGAAAAGTGATATTTGTATGTTGTTATCACTTTTCACAGCAGCAGACTGGTTACTAGCTGGGAGGCAGTGAAAAGTGATATTAACAAACATACAAATACTGTACTTTGCAGACCCAGGGAAGGGACAAATGCTTGCCCTCCCCCCCTCCCCAGTCCCCACTCAGGTGGTTGTGGCTGCAAGAAAAACCTCTGGTGGCCATATTTGAGAAACGCTGAAATCTGTGGAAAAAGTGCTTTTAAACAAGATTTCCTTTAATGTTAATATTTAGGATATTGTATTGTTTTAAAAAATAGGTCAGTACACTATTTGAGACTTCTTGCTGTATTCCAGTGAAGGTGGTGATTGCTTTAAACAGAACAATACACTTCCAAGTGATATATTAAACATAATCAAGTTAAAATTTCGGACTGAGTTTTTTTTCTTGTCTTGTTTAAAGTATTCAGACTAAATAGCTATTTAGGGAGTCACTTTAAATCTAGTCAATTAAAAATTAAAAGTAGTTTCAGATACTCCACATTCTCCTGAATACCCTTGTCTATGTTAGTGGCTCTATAAATACTACTTTGGAGAACAGTAATGCTGCATAAGGTTATATTTTAAATTAAATTAACTGCAACATAGCTATCTGAAATGAGTTATTTTTAGAAATCTGTTCTAAAAATTGAATACTTTATTTTTTGGGAAGGTGTGTATCAAACATAACTTACTCATAACTGTTTTTCTCTGTTTATTTTTAAGACGAGCAAAAATCAAATTAAAGTAGATCTTGTAGATGAGAATTTTACAGAATTAAGAGGAGAAATAGCAGGACCTCCGGACACACCATATGAAGGCAAGTAATGTTTTTGTGTATGAAATTATTGTGCACTTCAAATTATGTGTCTTGGGTTGCTTTGTTTAGAAGGTTAATTTACAAAATAAAAAGGAATAAAGAGCTCTGTATTTTGAAATGAGCCATTAATTTATGTGGTTTTAAATTAAATATTTAAATTTAAACTTTGGAAAATATATCCGCTACATTTACATATAATCACATGAAAAAGTATTTAGTCTGTAGCATAACAGACTTTACCATGCAACTTGCAAGGACTAAGTTGCAGTCTGGGCTGTGCAACAGAATTGTAAAAGGTATAGTAAGAAGGATGTTTAGTTCCCTGATGCAAGATATAGTTATCATGCTTGGTGGGGATGTGTAAGTTTGTAACTGTCTCTGGGATCTGGAAGCAAATGTGTACTCTGGAGAAACCTAGAGTGCAGAATAGAGTAATTGTCCAACATGGGTTACGAAGAGCTGTTGTAGAGAATGTGGGTCTTTTTAATGTTTTTTATATTTTTTTCAACTTGTAAGGAGAGGCACCTCTCCATTAGAGGAAATTTGGAGGTCTACCTGTTTCCGTAGATTCCTCTATTTAATTTTCCATTGGGGGAGCCTCAGTACTAGACTGGGTGTTTACAATTATCCTGAAAACCATATGACCTATTTTCTAGTTTCTCTGTGGTCTGAATCACAACCAAGAATATCGTTTATCATACCAGAAAAACAAAGAGATTTTGTTCCAGGTATAACTGACAGTGCATTTCACCTAGCAATCCCAAATTGCTCAATTATCTTTACATTTGTAACATTACGTGTGTGTATAATACTGGTGGAGCTGGCAGTGACTCCTAAAGTTAGGTGTCAAGTATCAGGGGGTAGCCATGTTAGTCTGTATCCACAAAAACATGCATCTGAAGAAGTGGTTTTTTACCCACGAAAGCTTATGCCCAAATAAATCTGTTAGTCTTTAAGGTGCCACCGGACTCCTTGTTGTTTTTCTTAAAGTTAGGGTTGCTTGACATTTGCCAAAAGACCCCGTTTTCAGTAGCTTTGCTGAACTTTAACTGTATGTGCCAAAATTTTCTATGCCGATTGTCTGTCTCAGGCTAAATTCTGGAAAAGTTTCAGCAAAAGCAGTTCAGCTGTTTTCAAAAAAGCAAGGTTATGGGAAAGTAAGCCCTTTTGCCAATGTTGAAAACTTGTTACAAATCTTCATTGAGAAGTTCTGGTACCTCCAAGATTTGGAGCAGGGACTTGAAATTTGATAGGGGTGTCATTCTGGAGTCAGACATATGCTTTTTATCATCCCTGTGAAAATCTTCCCAAATTTATTGAATTTATAAGTCTCTGAAAATTGCTGTTCATGCATGCTCAGTAGAGGTTTGTTAGAGGCTAGCAGCAAAACTCTGAGAATATTCTATCTCCAAGTATGCTTTAACCCAATATTTAGGAGGTCTTTCCCTGTGCTTGCTTCTCCTTTCCCTGTGCTGCTTTGGCACCAGACGGTAACTGGTAAGTCCCAACATTCCTCTGCTCCCAAGCAAATAGCTGTGAAGCCCACTGGTGAAATGTCTCATCCCCCTTGCAGTGGTTGGTCCACAGAGGATAATAGCCTGTTTTTGCTACCAGTTACGCTGTTAGCTGAAGCTGTGCTATGGATCTAAAGGTTCTAGGGCTGTCAGTGACTCACATGGAGGTCAATATAATTTCACTTAATGGAATTTTTTTTTTGAAAAACTTAAGGTTTTTGTTATATTAAAAGAATGTTAAGTTGCAAAGTCAAGCACTCAAAATTTAGGAAATGGCAGAATTAAGTTTGCTTGTACAGCCACATAATTTATCCTCCTTGTGTGTATGCATTGTGATAGTGTTTAATAACATAATATACTTTTTTCCCCTAAAGGATCCTACCGTATCAGTATACAGAATGGATAGTGCTCAGGAAATTCATCAGGGTTGTTTTGTGACTGAGGCTGTGGCCTGTAGGCCCCATTTGTTCTAGAATTCAGAAGTTTTGTAGCCACTGAGGTAAAAGACTGCAGGAAGAGAAAGAAAGGATATCTCATAGTTAAAACAGCTGAATACCAACCTGGAGAATTGGATTCTTTGCCACAGAGTTCCTATATGATGCTGGGCAAGCCACTTAAACCAAACTTTTCACAGTTGACTACTAGTTGTGTGTCCATTACTTTCTGGATGCCCAAATTGATACTTTGGGCCTGATTTGTAGAAGGGCAAAGCACTTGCAGCTGAAACCAAAGTCAGCAGTATCTGTGCTTTGACTGTATAAACATGTAAAAATGCTGAGTACTCTGAAAAATAGGGCTGTTGGTGTCTGAAACTGGGCATCCAAAATTACAGGTCTCATATGATGATTTTGGGCTTAATCTCTGTGTCTCAGTTCTCAGTCTGTAAAATGGTGATAATGCTCCCCTATCTCAACTGGGTATTGGGAAGACAAACTTATTAGTGCTTGTGAAACATATGGATACCAGGATGAGAGCACTATAGAAACACCAGGAGGAAGTCAGTAATTCTGTATTTAGTGCAAGGTTTGGATGATGTGAGGTGTATAAGGCATGGACACATTGATGAGTTTAAAAAATATTGAATAGCTATTTGTTCAGTGAGCACCATCTTTTTCTGATCACTGAATGAGGCAGGAATTCTGTCAGTGGAAAAAAATAGCACGATCATGTAGTTGGATTGTATTATAGTGTGTATTTATAAAGCGGTCAAATTAAGATTACATGAGCAACCTTAATTCTGGCATTTCCTAACTTTTGAATGCTTGAGTTTTCAACCTGAATGTTCTTTTAACATAGTTTTATGCATTTATTAAGATTATGTATATAGACATATAGATCTATAGATAAATATAGACAAAACAGTAACACTGCACAACTGTTCAGGGTAAACAATGAAGAATATCCAGTTGTAGTTGCAGGGGAATATCAGGGTTAACCTTAAGAAGAAGCCCTCTATGACCTTTTTTTTCTTTCTTTAAAATAACCACAAATGGTAAGGACCTTGGTTTTATGTTTCTGAAAATGGTAAATTCCTACAGAAAAGTGATCCAAAGGAATCTAATGAATTGCCAACACACTTCCTTCATCATCTTCCTTTTCTTTAAATGTTTCCCACCCAAATATTGACCAGTTTCAACTGTACTTAGCTAAGTTAGCTTAGCTTAACTTATGTTTAAAATATCACAGCCTGAATTGGTGCAGCTTCCAGTCACTTTATAAAAAAGTAGATAGCAAGAGTTCTGGAAATCCAGATTAATGGCTGGTGTTCTGCTTTGCAGTAGATGACACTCTCTAAAAAAGTTCTAAAGTGGTAGTCTAAAGGCAGGTGTGTTAATGTTTTTTGTTTTTTTTTGTAAACCTCTTTAATGACAGACTGGTGAACCACAATAATAGTAATTTCATTTCTTAGTGTATATCGGGTAGTGAGTACAGTAAATATAGTAACATTAGACTTGAGGTTTGGAAGTGTAGGACTTCCTAATATCTGTGTAATAGAAAAAGCAAGACTTTTGAACGTTGCTTTAAGAACTTACCAAGCGGTTTCAGCAGAAATATTGAGGTACGTACAGAAGTTACATTTGTATTACAATCCATTGCATTCTAAGACAGATGTAACAATAATAATTAGTGAGCAAATAAAGTTAATCTTTATCTAGATAAATGTATATAAAAGTTAATTTAGTTTATAAGCTCTTTGGAGCAGGGACCTGTAATTTATTTTTGTCTGTAAATGCCATACATGTCCATGGTGATTTATAAATAGTATTAGTTTATTGTCCCCTACTGACTTAGGTATGGGGGTTATAAAATTCAGGTGGATCCTTTATTTGTATGGCAGGCTAGAAGATGTTACCCAAAATTGTGATAGCCCCTGTCCTTGAAGGGAATGAAATCGTGCCTTTAAATTACATTTGCAAAGTCTGCTTTAATATCTGTATATTGATTTGAGATCCAGACAAAATGGTATGAGCAGCAAAAATCTTAAGAGCATTTTTGGATGTTGAAATCCAGCAGCAGTCTTCTTAGCAGTCCTACAGAGGGAACTTTTCACTGTCTTCTCAGATTGCTTTGCTTGAAAATTGGCCCCTATTTTTTTTGTCTTGCCTTTGTCTGCCTACTCCCTACATTTGTATTTTGCATTCACGTTGTGAGACACAAACCAAACTTATGGTGCTGGAATCGTTGGCCAACTTTGTCTCACTGCCTGTGGTCAACATAAAGGAACAACAGATACAGAGATGCAAGAGTAATTTGGCAAGCATTTCCGCCCTCCCCCCTGACTTATTTTAGTATTTTAGCCAATGTGACTTTGGTTTGTACTTCATCTTATTGCTCTTTATATAGTGTCACCTGTTGCCTTTTCCAGTCTGCCTTATAAACATAGCGTACATGCTATTTTGAGTTCAAACTCACCTGTTTCTGAAACTTTTTTTTTAAAATTCACAAAAAATAAAGAAAAATATGCCTTAAGTTCAATTTAAACCTCTGCGGGCTTGACTGCTAAGCCTATTCCTTAGATCCTCTCTTCCCACTTCTACTCCCCTATAGTCAGGTGGGATAATGACTTAGCAGAACCCTTTTAAATCTTTATCAGGAAGATCTACATCCACTAACAGATTGGGGTGTTTCAGACAAACTTCCATCCAGCACCATTGTGCTAAGTGCTTTACAAAAACATAAAACCTTTGTCCTTTCTCCAGAGAGTTATCAGTCAAGACAGACCATGCACGCTTTCTTATTCCTGTTTTCAGTTTTTAAATACTTTGTTTCCTTGCCATAACCTAATTTGCCATCTCCATTACTTTTGCTCTTTAGTTTGTAACAATGTTACTTTTTGTGTGCTAGTTTGTAAGCCCTTCCCCAGTGTTTACATATTTCACACCCTTTCCCATTTTCAACATTTGTCTTACTTTCTGTATTAGTTTTTAAAAATAAATGTACTAATTATGCCAGTAAAGTGTTAGGAATAGTGTGGTACCATCTCTG